TAATCTTCGACGAAGTTGGAATTGCATTCAGTTGTACCGCTGATATTCGACTTGGATACGAAATTGGAAAGAGAACTAGCACAAGGTCATTCTCTAGTTTTCAGAATTTGATCCATCAATTGAAGTTACGATTAATGGATGGAGAGGGTCTTTAAGTAAGACTATTGGGGTGCTTTTTTGTAGAAGTTTTGTGTGCGGCTTGTTTTGTTCTAATTAAGTTACGTGGTTCATGCTATAGCAACGAGCCCTACAGGAGACAAATAAACGCAATTCTCTGTTGGCGGGGTTTCTTTCCATATTTCTATGTTATTATTGCTTCTACCCTCTAATATAGACACTTTATCTGAATTTTAATGGGGAGGCGCAAGATGGCATCGGGAATAGTGAACGGGCTTGAAATTTACTTGACATGCCATAATAGCATCACCTGGTGTCGACAAGTCAAAACGACAAGACAAGCCAACATTTTTCTACGCCTAGCCGCGTTCAAGATGGCGGTTTTGGAAGTTTGGAAGTGAAGCTTTGTCAGCTGTCACTCAGTGATTTTGAGTGCCCACTTTCCTACACAAACCAGGAAAAAGCTTCGTACGTTTTGGCAACGATTTGACTCATTCCATTCTTATCGGCATCGCTTATCCGAAGTTACTCATAAATTATGATGATTCACTATCTGCGTCTCCTAATAAATAAAAACATTTTACGCGTCTAAACGACCGAAATACGAAGCCGCGATATACTTCTGCAGTTCCCCCCCTCTAGCCCCCCCCCAGCCCGCAACCGAGCGAACCGACGAGCAATAATTTCCCGCAATTAACGCTAATTGAAGCCGGAGAGATAAAACTCGGGGAAAGGGCATAGCCGAGAGGCCGAAACAATTACCCGAACGTGATATTATTTTATTTACCGTAAAGATATGTTACGCAAACAGACCAATTGACCGGCTCGGGGGGCCTCTAACCTCTTCATTAATGTGAGTCAAACATCGCTAATCGAGGAGCCGAGAGAAATACGGAGCCACCCATATAATATGCAATCACGATAAATGAGACTGACGGTGACATTTGAACCTGGCCGGGTATATATATCGGAGCTCGGCTTATTATTTTTTCTATTAAGCGTTTTAACGAGGCAACGATTTCGGTTTACGAAGACGACGACCAGGTCGTTCACATCGCGACGTCAAGGATCGAAGGTTTTTTCCTTTGGGAAACCCCACCCAGTCAGATTCTCACACCATAGAACAAAACAAGACGAGAACAGTCACTCTTACAGCTAGATTAATGTCAGGTGCTAAGGAGTGCCACGAAGTGCTTAGAAAGAGTCGGGAAAGAGTGGGTCATCTTTTTATGTTTCCAGATTCTCACACATCACAATAAAACAATTTTCTCTTGCTTGAAGGATTTGGTCTACTCTTGAGAAATTGCAAATAGAATGCCTTTTTTTTTGCTTTTTCGAATCACTCTGGGACGCTCGATATGAAGATTGGCTTAGTCATTGAGAATGCTTAGAATATTCAGAATGAAACGGTCATAGGCAGAATGTAGAGGCAGAAGCGACGACTGCCTTGTAATAAAGAGCAAGGTTATCGGTAGAAGAGGATTGAGCAAGAGATAATTTTCAGGCTCTAGAAACGTGAGAGATGCCGGCAAGGCAGAGAACGGTTTGAGGATGTTGAAGCCAGTCTTCAATAAGAAGAAGACAAATATTTAGATTTTTTTAAAAGCTATAAAAAAATTGATAGATACGGGTATAAGTTTTGATAAAAAGAAGACTTTCTGGCTCAACTTTTGGCTATCTGATAACACCCAGCAGTTTGACCATATATCACATGTATATTATTCTATATTAGACTTGTTGGATGCTAGGAATTCTCACGATACAAAAACTGGACTCTGACGAAGTCCATGAACTGAATCGCTAATAACTAAGCTGTTTTCAATGCACAAGCACTATATAGAAAGTGAAGAGCAAGTTGTAGCCAATCTTCAAGAATACAGAAGCAATATAAAGAAATTGGTAGATATGACCAGAAAGAAAAAAAAATAGAATTGATTCTATGCAGAATATTAAACTTTCTCATTTCCGGCAAATCTGTCCTGTGAGTTTGCTCTAATTTATAAATGTGCCAAGCAATGCATTCCATACCTAAGAATATACAAGCAGCGCCCTCAGGGCTCAGGAAAAAAAGTGACACATTGAAACATTCCATCAGATTTTCATCACGTTTCAACAATAACTCATAAATACTTGCAATTATAGAGTGTTACTTAACATTATTTAATTTGTGTTTCCCAATAAGTTAACATGCATTTGTGATGGCATGGTATTTTTAAAATTATTTCGGTCAATTAACATTAAAAAAACTGACCGCTCAATTCCACAATCCTAATAGAACAAAAACACTGTCTAGAAGCAACGTCTAAATAAAATTCAAATTCAAATTCGGAATTGTTATGTAAAAAAAAATTATGTATAAGGAGAGCATTTTCGCTGTTAAAGTTATTATATTCACACCGACATTTATTATCTCAAAAAACTAAGTCACTTCTGTGTGACACTTTAATAGTATAACATTTTAATTTTGCTGATACAATATATAGATCATTTCTGGATTCTGTTGATATTAAAAGGATACAAAACTAACCAAAATTCTGATGTAGGACTAAGAGTTTCATATAAGCTTGAAGAGTTGGGACGGCTTTCCATGTCTGTATTACAAAATAATTGAGTCAAAATGTCCTCCTTATCTTCATGAAATACTAACATACGGTACGGATGTTCAAAACATAAATATTTGTTAACTATACCTGTGCATAAAATATAATTTTTTTTAAAGTGCTTCTCCTATTAGATTGGGTTTATAATTAATAAATATAAAATAATAGTATAGTTTGCAACAAGTGCGGTAAACGCCATTTGTTGCATACTATACTCTTTCTACGACCGTTAGTTTTTGGGTACATTTTTCGCAAAACAACATGAATACATTCACTGACATGACTGTCAGAATTGACAAACGTCAAAGTTCAAAGCGTGGAAAATATCTCCGAAAACATTCGATTGCTTCCAAATCCGTGCGGTAAAATCCCGGAAATGTCCGAAGTGGCTCGGATTCATGGGAAACGAAACTGACTTGGTAAAGTGACGCTTCCCGCACGCTAGATCGGTGGGTAATTAAGTATTTTAAAGCCGGGAGTAGAAAAATGATTTTACCCAATGTATTTGCATTTTGCTTAAATAAAGAAATATCTTTTTTCTCTTTTCCTGTAGCCCTGTATTTTTTATTTCTTCCTTCCTTTCTTTTTCTTTGTATTCTGTCATTCTTCTATACCGATCTGTACATAAGGTAAAGCTAAATTATTGTATTTAAGGCGGATATGAAATGTTGTGATATGTATTATTTCTTTGTTGCATCTTTTTTTTCAATGGAACGCCCTGTATATTACATATGTATTTAACAGAATATCTAATTCCGATTACAATGATGTAACACTATTTTACTCCACTCGTTTTTGACAAATCGGCAAAAATAGGAAATTTTTATGTAATTTCAAAGAGTGCCATGACTGACTGCAACAACAATAATTATTTACAAATTGAAGTGTAACAAAATCACTAAAATTAACAAGACACAGTAAAGTAAAAAATTATTTAACTATTCCAAATACTGCTGTATGTGAACATATTTCTCATACCCTCTATTCGTATGATATCTTGCATTTAGTAATGTTTCCGGATTGTCTCTTAGCTGATTGATTGCCTTTAAAATCCTTTGCCGAAGTTCCACGACATTATTACAAGGAGTTCTGTGCACGTAATTTTTTGTGTCCCCAAAAGAAAAAATCCATTACATTTAAGTAGGGACTGTTGACTGGCCAATCCATAGTTCCACCGTTCTCTATCCAAGCCCTGGGATATTCCATTTTAATTTTTTTTTAACTTACACAACATTGTGAGAAGGGGCACCGTCTTGCTGCCATACAATCAGCGCTGATATATTTAGGGGTAATTTTTTTATATATTGTTCTATTTGGTGCTCTAGGAGTTGCAAATAATGATCTCCAGTTACCTTTTGATCTATAAATATCGGACCCAAAATATGCCCATCTATGACACCCACCATACTTTAATTGATTGATACCCATGGGTTTTTATTTTGTGTATTTGTATAGGATTAATTAAAGGCCAATATCGCGTATTACAACCCTTTCTTGTGGTGAACGAACTTTCATCAGTGCATAAAATGTTTATCAAAAAACTATTATTCTCATTTAAAAAAATCCAAACAAAACTGCATCCTCCTTTGACTAACCAAAACTAACCAAAACTGCCAAATTTTGCTATTAAACTTTTTCAATTAATGTGAAAATTTAGACCAAAATTTAAACTTTGAATGCCTGGTTCTCCGAAACCAGTTTGTATGAGGCTCGATCTTATATTTTGGTGTCTAGTACCTCCAGTTTAGAGATTGTCTATGCTTTATGGAAGCTGTCGCTGACGAGAGACTTATATCCGACTTTGCGATGCGTTTTCCAGAAATTATGACTTATTTTTCATAAATTCTGACCTAAGTCAGAAATTCTGATTTAACTCAGAAATTCTAACTTATTTTTCAGAAATGGTGATTTGTCATAAATCTGACTTAACTCAGAAATTATGACTTATTTTTTAGAAATTCTGACTTAATTCAGAAGTTATGACTTCTTTTTCATAAATTCTGACTCAACTCACGAACTCTGACTTTTTCATAAATGCTGACTTATTCTTCAGAAATGCTGATTTGTTATTCACAATTCTGACTAAACTCAGAAATTATGAGTTATTTTCTAGAAATTCTGACTTAACTCAGAAATTCTGACTTATTTTTCAGAAATTCTTATTTATTCCTCAAAAACTTATCTTATTAAACGAAGACAAACATTTTATTGTTGGTGGCCTTTCAGCATTTTCGTATATATCCAACACAAAGAGCGGCGCTGCTATAATACGCGGAGACTTACCACTTGGGCGTTAGGTGAGTGCAGGAGCTCGTGTTTCTCCAATTGTTCCTTGGCCGGAAACGAAGTACTGCACTGGGCGCATCCGTAGGGTCCTCCGGGCCCAGCCAGTGGCGGAACCGGAGACGCCGGAGCTCCGGTATGCGGCAGACCGTTTTCCGCGGACACCGCGAGTTCGGAATGGACGATCTCTATGTGCTCTTTCAACGCCTGGAACGTTTGGCATCCTTTCTGACATTGCGGACACTTGATGAAGTATTCCGTCGCGGCGGCGACACCGAGCTCCTCCTCTTTTATCGACGACGTGCCGTTCACCAACGTCGGGGCCGCTGAAACAATCGACGTGTAGGAAGAGAAAAAAACGATAAATAAAGTTTCAATCAAAATCCGTTTACGAAACTCGAAAATAGACGGATAGAGATTTTTACGGAGGAAGTTTACGCGATGCGGACGACGGATCTAACGCACCTGTCATTTTCTAAATAGTTGCGGCGCGTCGACATCTGACGGACGTGTAATTTCTTTTGGATTGTTGCCGCGTAGCCGTGGATATTTTGAAAAGTGTCGAAGAAGAAAAACGTCAAGGGTGTTTGGTTTTTTAACATTACGACCTCGATAAGCGGAATTAATCTTCGTTTAACACGGAATTAACTTGAGTTACATTTGTAATGTCATAAGACCTTCGTTTTGCAAAAAACTAGAAATTACTCTTCTGTGGAACTGTTTAGAATAAGGCAATTATTTTTTAAAACAACGGTTTTTCATATTTTCAAAAACAAAACCCAGCCAGGGTCCAAAAAGTCTTAGTTTTTAACATACAGGGTGTTAAATTAGATGGCGGTTTTTGTAAATATTTTTGAATAGAATTTGGTATAGTTACTAAACTCTTTAGGGGAGGCGTTGGAAAAATTTGCTCCACATTTTTTGTTTGTCGAATTTTCGTAATTTGGACTTCAGAATTTGAAAAACTGAAGTTTTCGACGTACCTCGCTACAACACATCGTTTTCGAGAAAAATGCTTTTGAAAATTTAAATACAAATTATTTTTTTTTAATTTTAATCTTTACAATCGAGGTGCAGATAAACAATAGTAAGCCTTGGAAGTTAATGACGCGTTTCATTTGTTTGTGTTGCTGGGTAAATAAAAATTAAATGTCATTAAATGTTAAATTATTTGGCAGCTTTCAATTTTGTTCTGCAAAAATAAGAACCAGAAATAACATTATCCATAAGCTGTGGGGAACTACGTAGGGTCCTCCTGCAGTACCTGGATTAGTCTACTCCACTTCGGAGTGGTATTAGCGGCACTCTAAGATCAACCTCTACAGAATGGCTGCTACATTCCGCACCCGGACCTTCTACGAAAATCAGCTCTTCTCCTTCTTCGGCATTTTCCTTTACGAGTTCGCCGTTTTCATCCTCCACAGTTCTCTTACATTCCAGTCCCCTACTATCAGATGTCTATCAATCATCGTATGTCCAATGTCTCCCATCTTGGTGATTGTCGTCTTCTTTGTCTTCCCCCTGGAGGTTCCCATTCCAGTACTCGTTTTGGCCACCTGTGTTCTGGCATTCTTTGTACGTGGCCACACCATTGTAACGCGCTGTTTTCTAATTTCCTTGTTATCAAGCGTGGTTGTCATGGACCATACTTCTGTTCCATATAAGGTGATATTTTGTATTATGCTTTGGAAGATCCTTTTTTGTTTTCTTTGGTAAGAGTCTTATTCCATGAAGTGCTCTTGTGGCCGGTTTTCCTCGCGCCATTTTAGTCTCTATATCGCTTACACATGTACCATCTCGGTGTATTGTTGATCCTAGAGACTTGGAAGTTTGGCAACTATTATTAATTTCGTCCTCTAAATTCAAATCCAAATCTGCAACTTGTCCAGTACATAAATATGAGGTTTTATCCATATTTATTTTTAGTCCCCACAGTTCGTACTCTTCTTTTAGCTTTTTTATCATGTATTCCATGTCCTCCTTTTCTTGTGCAAGAATAACTTGATCATCAGCTCTTCTCCGGAAGTTAAAAGCGTCCAAGACAATCCTCAACTCTCCATTCATCAGGATACAGCTACACTACTAGACTAGGATATAGAAGACCACCCATGCAAACTACCGTGGAACTACATTCCTCCCAATTCAGCGTAATAAACTTGTGGGAACAAGAATTGATCCCAAAATTGGCCACCTGGCAGAATATGGAGGACTCTAAGTAGAATACGCACTAACCATGGTAAAAAATGGGGTAAAGATCCGTTTCCAAATTGTGACTGTTAGAGAACATCCGAATAGAGCATCTAGTAGACTAATTGTTGTAAATCTTGATAATTTGGTGAAACCAGGTTTCTTCGAGTACGGGCGATTTGGTCTATTTTAAATTTCTTTGTAAGAAATTTGTTTGTATAAAAATGTCAAGCTGTGAGTACTATAAAATGTGAGACTACCCTTATTTTTGTAGGCGTAGACGAAAAAAATGGCATTTCAATAATAATAACGATAATTTTTCGCTTTACTTGATAAACGGGCGCGGAAACCGGCGTAAAGTTTGCTTATAATTGTTCTCGACAGGATGTTACTAATAAATTTTAAGTTGCTTTAATTATTTCCCCCGTTAAAGCACACGTATACCTACCCGCATGGGCGGCGCGCGGCGGGATTTTCCGCCGACAAATGCTCCGAAAGTAGAGAGAATGCAACGTTTATTACGGGAATGATACCTTATTTCAGGATCTGTATAAAATATCAAAAAAACTTAAAGACAAAGTTTCTTATTTTTAGTACTAGTTATTATACATAAAATATGTGTAGAAAGCACGAGGAATTGGAAAATTACATTGTAGGAGTATAAAGCGAATCTTTAAGTTTTTTTTTCATATTCTTATAGGCTCTGTGATAAGATGTCTTCCCATGATGATCCTGTACAGGGTGATCTGTTATAAATGTCAATCGCCGTTAACTTTTTTCGTTTCAGATTGTAGAAAAAAAAAGTTCTATGGTACAACTAAAAGTTTTATTTCATATTATACAGGGAGCTACCACAAAGCAGCAGATAAAAGCATATTTTTTCTTGCTCTTTAAACGCAGGAAATGCCAAAAACCAAAATTCTATTTAGTAGGCCGTGGGTCGCCATTTTTTTCCTTTGCCGTTCCGTTGTTTCGTTAATTATTACTATTACAGTTTCGGCGTCTTAATTAAGCAATTTTGACAGAAAAAAATTGTTTATTTATGACATTTTCCGAAAAAAAGTTTTAGTTAGTTTTTGGAGAATCTGAAAGAAAAACAAGTGGCAGTCTTTTAAAATCATGTGCCTTAACGACTAACATGTTATAGGCTTATGCTAGAAAGACTAGAAATCGACCCCTATTTTTGCTAAAATTTTATGGACAGACGAATTTTCTTTTACAGCAACAGGGTTGCCCAACAGAATAAATTTACCTTTACTATTGGTCTACAGAAAATCCAAGTCAAACGTTAATTTAATTAAATTAAAAGGAACTGCATTTCATGGTGATAGATACGAAAGAATTGTATCAAAAGGTGTAGAAGAGTTTATAGATAAAATGCCGCTGCTGCCAAGTATATGGCCACCTAACAGTCCAGACCTTACTGGTCTAGACACTTTTTTATGGGGTCCTTTAAAGAATAAAATTTATTTTACTAGGCAAGACAACATTAATTTAATAAAAGAGAGGGACTGAAATAGATAACATAAATACGAATCATTCTATATCAATCAATCAAAAATCAAGCTGTAGAAAAAATAAGAATGGGCTATCGACTATGTGTAGAAATAAATAATGTAGTTAACCACGCGTAAATCATACTAATAACTATGGTTATTGTTTATATAGTAGATATTAAATAACTGTGTTGCTGTGTCTTTCACTTACACCTTGTATTAAACTTTCTATACGCGCTTATCGTGACTGCAAATTTTTCGCCTCCGGACTGCCCCCCCCCCCTGGAATTTCGAAGCAGCGAAAAAAAAAAGCCGGCACGCTCGTGTCCCCGCTTATATACCTTGTCTGTTTATGATTGAATTAAAACCTTTTGTCAGACAGCAAAATGCGGTTTGTAACAAATGTAGGTACAATATGGTCGCAGCGAGCGGTAAAAATATTATTTTAACGTCCAAACATTTACGTTACAAAGAGGTTTTATATATTCCTATTTTCGGATTATTTAGGGGCGAGATTTTACTGAAATTTTCGCATAATTTTTAACAATAAAATAACGTTTAGTAATATCTGACGAAATAATAAAGAAAAGAATGAATCATGTACGCAGCAGATTGACTGACCTGCCCTCTGGTGACCACAAATATATTTAATTGGCTGATAATACTAGGTAATTAATTATCTCGTCTTGACAACAAAATAACTGTTACACCTCAGCTGCCTAACTTTACCTTACGTGTTCTGGGGATTTTAGTTTACCTCATGCTGTTTGGCAAAATAACAATCTTAGCTCTTCAGCTATTACTATCTCCTTACGACCTCAGGACACTGCACGTGTATATTGAACCCAGCACCTGCAGCTTCCACAACTTACAATTTATTTCAACCGAATCAATCTGTAACACCTCACAACGGGGCCTTTTGGATTCAACAACCACACTTCTGACTTCAATTTTAGTTAACTCACTCTGCTGATGATTTCGATTAATTATCTGGTCAAGGCAAAAATTGAGGAATTGCCATTTGCTGATTACTTGACCACTGTTATCCATAGAACAATTTCTAGATTCATGGTTTCATAAGGAGATGTATCCAGCACTTCATCAGTGTAAATGCATTAAAAATTTTGTACTTTACAATTGCATATTTCGGGGTACTTCTCGTGCTGAATATGATGATGCTAATATCAATGCGTCATGCTGTTACAGTTGCATAATAAAGTCTATAATAATTTATTAATAAATAACTTAATGGTATTAGCGCTGTAGTATTCTATCTTAATTTTTTTAACCTGGAATATTTGTTCTATTTTATTCTGTTGCTACGAACTTAAGTTATTAATAATAATTAATAATTCTATTGGTTGTTGTTGTGAATCGAAGATTTAACGCAAATTGTAATTGGGCTGCGTCCGTTGAAAAATAAATGCACAAATAAATAAGGCAGTCGTTTTGTGGGATCTAGCAGTATCAAAACATCGCCCATTACAGCTGAACATTTTAAGGGTCTTCTGCGAAATAGGTGATGCTCTAAATAAAACGATGAATACAAAACTAAAAATCGTTAGTTCAAAGTGGCCCAAAATCTACATTTTTAAGGCCCGAAAGGCAAATTTGAAAGTAAAAAATTGAAAAACGAGTGTAAC